CATGAAGCCACGAGACCTTTATCCCAAAAGACCAGACGACGACCTGTGGATTGACTTTCTTAGACATGCGCCGCAAAGCCGCGACCACTGGGCAGAAGGTGGCCAACGTTTCAAACGGTCCGAAGCCTCTCGCAGCAGCCCTAAACTCTCGTAAAAAGTCGCCGCTAATGTGGCCGTCATTTGAGGGGCGTACACAGCTGAGAGCCCGGATCCGACGGAAGTGACGTACGGCGCTGGTGACAGTGGTGTAAACTCGGTTGCATGATGAGGAGCAAAGTGAGAGAAAGTGAGGTTGTATAATGAACTGTGCTGGTTTTGATATTGACAATTCTGGGTATCTGTCTGTTTTCGTGCCTACAATAGTGTGAAAGTGCTGGAGGCTACTCGGAATTCTATGTTCCATAAGAGCTTGATGAACCATCACCTAGAATTACGACATGGCTGTCGGATATCCAATATCTCTCTGTGTCTGCGCCATGATATCCGAATAGTGTCATTCTCCAGGCGAAGAAGGAGACATGTCGGTTTCTTCCCTCAGTAGTCAGTCTCCTTCGCGAGCGTGGATATTCGTCTTCCCCCGGCCAAGACCAGCACTTGCTCAAGGCCGCACCGAATCTGTCTGTCCATGTCTCATGAAATCTCCGTATCCTTCCATCTCATAAACGCCAAGAACACCCCATCCCCAAATCCAACAAAAAAACTCTCAATGCAAAAGATCGGCCAGTAACCCAAGAGGGCCATCACAATCAACTCGGCACCACCTGCGCCGTCTCAGGATCACTACTCCCAATACCTGCCCTCCTCTCCCTCCTCTCCACCTCCCTCGCCCGCCTCCTCGCCCTTCTCCGCCGCTGCTGCTCCCGCCCACCCTCCTTACACGCGTCGACGCAGTGCATGGCCATGTACAGGAAATGCAGCACCGCGGCGATGAGCTGCAGCCACATGTACCACGGCGCCCACGTCTCCTTTTCGACGCGCAGCGGATCCTCGCGCCAGGCGCGGTACTCGCGGTCCGGGCTCCCCGTACGCCAGCCGTTGAGGATGATGAAGTAGAAGAAAGCGACGAGGCCGAGGACGAAGAGGACGAAATCGCCGACGACGATGGCGCCGGTGCGCATGCGGGGGATCTGGTGGGTTGAGTTTGCGAGGGTGACCATTTCGGCCATGGAGAAGATTATGCCTGAGACGGACTTTTTTTGGGTAATTAGTAGCCGTTCTACATAGTCAAGGGAATGATGCATGTCAAGCTTACAGTGACGTATCCGAGCGGGAAGTGGAAGCCATATCTCGATAGTGTGATGAGGGCGGCGAGGGCGCACACCTCAAATACGACGAGGGTCAGGCGGAGGCAGAACTGGAGGATGCCGTAGAGGGCGGGGATGCGCGGGCGCGTCATGCTGGGTTGACGGCGGCGAGGGGGTTTCGCCTCGATCGCGAGGTTGAGGTTGCGGGGGGCCTCTCTATCGTGGAATCATGCGGCGGTAACCAAGAGGTCTGGCTTATGCGGCTTGCTTGACAAGTTGGAGGTTCGAGTGCGGTGGCACAGCCGGTCTTCGTTCGGTCGGTCGGGATCGGGGTTGTCGTCGTTTGTCGAGGGTGGTGGTATCTCAATGGCGACGGCCTCGGTGAGTGGCAGCGACGGATGGGCCGGCCACAGAATTGGATTCCCGGGATGCTTGGATTTCCTTCGGGCGCGGCGTCTAGGCGTCGATTCTCTTTAGGGTAGATTGTAAGGTTCAGGTAGTTTGGCGACACAAGCACCTGCGACGACGGCCCGTTCGACGGGAGAGGAAGAGAATTGAAGTCAAAGGTCGGGGGTTGGGAAGAAGAAGAGAAAGAAGAAAGAAACCAGAAAATGGACAATATTGGGCGGAGGTTGGGAAAGCTGTCGTCGAATTGATTCGTTTGGACTTCTTTGTTTAGAACCTTTTTTTCTCGCTTTCAACGCCCCAACCAACCACTTGACAGAATGAAAGCTCCCCTGGTGTGGCCCGCGGGGTGTTTGCTTGGCGATTGAAGATTTGAGCAAATGGAACACGAAGAAAGCGGGCGGGCGCAAATCGCTACAGAAGGGAAGGTCGAACTACTGCGAGATTGTGGGTTTCTAGCCGTTGTTACCGTCCTTTTTCTGAGAGCTCTGCAGGATGATGGGAACAATGGAGGGTGAGTGGATGGGTGGGTGGTGGTCGGTTTCGAGGTAAGGTAAGGGTCGTAGGTATCCGGCCGGGATAAGCGGTGTAACCGATCCAGCAGGTCGTCTCTATGAAGAAATCCCAGGATCTCAACGTCGAGAAGAAGAGGAAGGGAAGAGAAGAAGGAAAGAAACAACCACAAGCTCTGACTGGACACGAGACTTGCGGGGGTTTGCTGACGACTGGAATAGAACTGAAGAAAAAGTAGAGAGGACGGGAGGCAAAAGGATGCCCGCCCGCCTTAATCCAGAACGGAAAGTCGAAAAGGAACAGCGCCAAGCATGTCCAGGCAAGGAAGGGTGGGCGCAATCCAGGATGGACAAACGTAATGGGTGGGTGGGAGAGACGCAAGCCCGAGGGATTTGGGGATTTGCAGACACTCAGCTCAGATGGAAATCCATTGACGATGTTTGGACGGACGGGGCACGGGAGGGAGAGGCATTGGACCAACGATCAAGTCTTTTCTCTCTCCCTATTTCGACTCTTGGGCTGTCCCTCATGCATCCATGCGCTGGTACTGTCCGTCTTTCAAAGGCCCCAACACCATACACACACTCACGATACTCTGCAGTAGATAGAACAAACATTTCCCCCTCCGTCTCTACTCTTTAGTTTCTACAATGTCAATGTCCGCCAGGTGGGCTGTGCGGCGCGGCGCTGCATGAGAATGGGCAAAAAAGACAAAATGGGGGTTCCGGCCAATATGCATGCGACGGCGTGGTCGGGGCAGGTCCTTGGAGTAAGGTCCATCCAGTAGAAATCTTTTCTTTCTCATGGATGACGGTGCTGCCCTTGAACTTTGTATTTGATGAGCAGAATATGGGGGCATTGGCAATATCTGGGCATTAAATTCCATCACATCAACAATCGTGTTTAGGTAGCCAGTTTCTAGACCCAACTTGACAGGCCTTGAGAAACCACACGTCAAACTGCCAGAATCCAAAGAGAAGATAGTTTCAACGCCTAAAACGCCATCATTCCTCTTCCCTCTCCCCCACCGATCCTAGCCTAGGGCCGGTCTTTGGCATCCCACCCCTTGGCGGAGTCGCGGGAAGATCCCGGATTGTCTCTCCCGCTATGAACTCCCCGATGGACTCTGCTAAATTACTCCGTAGTCCGTACCAAGCCCTGCTGCCCTACTGGCTCAGATAGCGTATCCGTACCTTACCTAGTCTAACCCGTCGGTAGGGCTTTGCCAGGGGCCAAGACTCGTACGCCCGAGGCATTGACAACCCGTAGAGTAACAATTTGGCCAATTGCTCAAGCGTTGAAAAGTACTCAAAGCATCGGAGAGCAGTAGCTAGAACCTGCTGGCATACTACGGAGTAGATCAGATTACATTGACCGTTAAAAATTGTTAGTGACGTTTGCTTGGCAAACGGTAATCGGCAAACGGGCCTGACGGGGAGCTGGAGGAGCATCCCATCGGACCAAGAAATGCCATTGCGTCATCCCATCAACTCACCCCAGCTTCGCAACGAAACGATGTCACTGGAAACACAAACCGTCCAGGTCAAAAACGTGACGGGAATTGAAGCCATGAACCCTTCCTGTTGTCCTTACGCACCTTGAATCGACGACATCTCTTATTGCCTCCAGTAAGCCAGGGGACAATGTCAAGAAGGACTGTAAGATTGGACATGAAATTGCACACCCGGTATGATGATCAAAAAGCAGGGTCCTTCCATAAATAAATCAGTGGCGCACCCATCCAAGTTTCCTCCTAGTCAGCCCGGTTTCTGCTGTCCCCACATCGCCACCAGTGACCAACTCTCGAGTCTCAACACCACTGTAGTGTTTGACTATACTGATGGTACTGATGGTACGGACACTCAAGATCAAGAACTCGAGAGTCTTCGAGCGGGAGAAGCTTACGAAAGGATACGTCTCTCCCGAGTTCCCGTCAAGAAAGCGGGCCGGCCAACTTTGCCGTCAGGAAATGACCGTCGCGTTATGAGATCAGATGGGGGGTTCACACCACCGCGGCTCACGGCACGTTCCCTTTGTGCCCTTTTCCAGCCTTTGAGACTCACGGATGGGTACGCTTAGTGACATGGAGACATGGAAGCGTAACAGGGCAGGCTAGAATGTCACCAGAGCCCACAATGAGGCTCAAACGGCACCCGCCGCAGGAAACCTGCCCAGAGCCTGGCCCGCCCTGGATGATGAATCCGGTATATCGAGGCATCTCCACCAAGGAAATCCAGAATACCAAGACGGTTTACGCGGCACTCACGCGGCACTTGGCCCGGAAATTCCCTCCACAAGCCCTCACAGCTCTGTCTGCTCTGGACTCCGGAGACCAGAATTGCTCGAGTCCAGACAAGTGAAGGCTGCAATAACACTACCCCTTGTCCCCTCTATGGACTGCTCTGACGTCGTCTTCCCCATTGTTTTTGTATGCTTCTTTTTCCGGGGTCGGGAGTGTGATGCTTGGTGATGTACTTTCAATGGAGAACCCGCGGCCGGTGGTGGGATTTGACGTAGATGGCAGACTGTTGCATGGAGACGTGGGCATTCGTCGCAAACAGGGTGACGGCACTGTCGATGACGGACGTCGACGCGTTCCTTGGCCACGATGACGGACTTGTAGGAAGACAGTAGAGGCGTTCAAAGTATAAAGGCATCTGTTCTGAAGCGCCTCAAGTTGGTATTCTCTCTCACCATCATCAAACACAGCCACAACGACCAACACAACTACAATCTCATCCGAGTATCACTCATCACCACCGCACTACAATATCCTAAGATCTCATATCCTAAACCAACAGACCCACACACTTGACACACTCCCACCCCAAAACCAAAATGCACGGCGGAAGACAAGAAAACTACGGCTCCAGCGGCATGGGCGGCGGCATGGGTGGTGGCTACAACGACGGCCCTAGAGAAAACTACGGAGGCGGTATGAACAGCGGCATGGGAGGAGGCATGGGCGGCGGCGGCGGCTACGGGGGCGGCCGCGAGAACATGGGCGGCGGCGGTATGAGTGGCGGCATGGGCGGAGGCTACGGAGGCGGCGGCCGAGACAACTACGGTCCCTCCGGCGGCATGGGAGGCGGCCCCGGTCCCCGCGACAACTACAACGGCGGTGGCGGCATGGGCGGTGGCATGGGTGGTGGTATGGGAGGTGGCGGTGGCTACGGCGGTGGCCGTGAAGAGTACGGACATTCCGGTGGCCACTCTTCCCACGGACGTAAGTTTACCCCTTCTTCACTCGCTTCGATACTTTGGACACAGTGAAGCTAACATCATCGTAGGCCGCAACAGCTACGACCGCCGCGATAGCTACGACCGCCACGACAACCACAGCAGCCACGGCAGCAGTCACGACAGCCACAACAGCAGCAGCGGCGGTAGCGGCGGAGGTCTCCTCGGCGGGATCCTCGGCGGCGGAGGAAAGGATAAGAAGGAGGAGAAGAAGAGCGAGGGGTTCACTGACAAGTTGATCGATGGTGCCGCTTCGTACGCCAAGAAGAAGTGGTAAATTCCGAAAAGCATCTTCTGACACAAAGTCAGAAAGATGAACGATGTAACGAATACCTCTTGTATTAGTAGCCCGGGCCTACGATCATAGCCTGTAGTAATAATTCCATGATTATTCTGAATCATTGCCAGAGACTTGCCGTGGTTGGATGTTTGTCTATACTTACTTACTCTCGAGCGTTTATTGGTCTTTCGATACTGTCATAGTCCCCTTCACACATTAGATGTCAATAATGTTGGGCGGCCCGAAATCTTACTAGCTCATCACCACACACAGATAGCACGTTCAAGCGCGTCCGGAATTGCAGTCATTATGAATCTTGAGCGATCTCATCGCACCTCATTCAAATCTGCCAAAGGGGCCTTCGGGGCATTTTCGCTTCCCGTTGAATACTCTTGTTACATGCCCTCAAAAACGCCAAATTTCATCCTCTCTCGTCAATCAAAAAGGGGGTCCGCTTCCAAATGTCCACTCCGAATGAAAATAGCCCCTTTCCAAGTCTCTCGGTAGTATCCAGAGACACTTCCTAAGAAGTCAGAAGGGTCACCAAAATTCAAGGCCTTTCTTCCTCCTCTCGTAAAAGGTACGGAGAGAGGTTTTGTGAAACCCAGTTTCCCTTTTTTGCCCACCTTCCAATTCTAATCCGGGGTACCACACCCCAATGCTGATGCAGGTTATCCGAAGCAAGGCAAAACAAAAGAAAGCCCCAGGCAAGGGGTCGAGTAGGGCAAGTTCGAAGAATCAGTTGCAGGGGCCAGGAGACCACAATCCCACAGAGCGTCCTTGGTAAACTCCGATGAAAAGAGGTACAAGAATGCTCTGAGTGGTGCCCCCTTTGCCAAATGTACAGGTCGAGGCCAAGAGCGTCGATGGGTAGTTCGGTATGTACACATTGCGAGATTGTCGCCAAATCAAGAGGTCGTCAGGCGTCAAGCCGGGGCCGTGAAATGCACACCGGATTAGCGAGTGTAATTCGCGGATCGCACGTCGGGGTGCGCTCACTCTTCCTTCTTGGGCTTCTCTGCTTCCTCAGTGGGCTGCTTCTTCTCTTCATCAGCCTTGGCCTTGGCTTTCGCCTTGCCCTCGTTGTACTTCGTCATCTTCTCAGACATGTACCGAACGGAACGGCCGACGCCCGCCGTAAAGAAGCCCTTGATTGACTGGGCGGTTGCGGGCCAGTTTACAGTCTGACGAATAACCTTGCGAATGGACTTTTGCAGCTCCTCGGGCTCATCTTGGACGATACGCTGCTCGAAGCCGCCTCCCTCGCGACGCTTGAAGCTCACGGCGTCCTCGTCCTTGGAGGCATCCATCATGGCCTTGAAGTCAGCAGTTGGGACCATGAACTTCTTCTGGTACTGGAAGTAGAGGCGTGAGCGGAAGGCCTTGGGCAGGCGACGGACCATGTTGCCACGCTTTATAGGGTCCATGTCCTGGTACATGGCGCCGTCGTACTCGGCGTCGGCGACATGCTTGCTCTGCTGGTCGGCTCCGTCGGCGAAGTCAACGTTGGGGAGAGTATTGAGCAGCGGGCCGTATAGCTTGCGGAAGGAGACCATGTTGTTGTCCACAATGTTGGAGATCTTGCTCTTGTTCTCGGTGGGGAGAGACATGCGCGGATCACCGAGGTATGAAATGCCGGCAATGGTAGAGAAGAGCTCCTTCTCGGTGAACTTGGGAGGCAGAAGTAGAAGGGCCGTGCGGACCGCCGAGATCAGATTGACCTGATTCGCGAGGCGAACTCGGGGGTGATCACGCAGGATCTTAACCGGCTTGTGAAGTCTTCCCGCGAGGTACAGATTGTTCCAGGTCGAGAGGTCGGTACAGAGGTTATCGATGGACGTGACGCCGTACTTGATGAGCATGCCCTTCTTGGTGACGTAGGGATTAAAGTAGACACCTGCGCCCCAGCGATCCTGGGTGGTAGAGACGAGGCCCGAACCGAAGCTGGCTAGGCCAGAGTAGTGGTCACGGTGCTGTCTGATGTTGAGCGAATGCCAGTGCTGGGTGTGGGTGACACCAAAAATGAAGTCAATCATCTTGGGGCCTCCTTTCTGCACTTCCATCAACGAGGGAGACGGTTTCGGGTGGACAGCGCGAAATTCTTCGTCCGACACAGAACGGCTGATCTTGGACTGTGGGAAGACACCTGAGCCGTACGCCATGGCGTACATGACGGGAGCGCGGAATTCCCGGACAACCTCGGTCAGGACCTTTTTGAACTCGACATTGACCTCCATATGCTGGTTGATGCCAAACTCCTTGTAGGGGAGCTCCTCGAAATCCTCAATCTTGGCATCGGGATGCTCCTCCCAGTTGTCCGCCGACAGAGTCGGACCTGTCCTCTCCTTCTTCTCCCGACCCCAGTTGAAGTTGATCGCGGAGCCACGGTGAGTGTACAGAGGAGGGCTATCCTCCTGCTTGCTCTCACTTGCCACATTCTCGTCCTTCTTGCCGGCGTCCGCTGAGTAGTAGCGAGCTTGGTGGGAGAAGCTGAGCGCAAGGCCAGGCACGGCCACGGCTCGAAGCGCCTGGCTGGGATTGCCTCGGAGCTATCCTGCGCATCAGCCGCGGTCGTTCCTAGCTTATTCGCAGTCTATTAGAGAGGATATGGGGCTTACCAGGAGGCGCGAGAGCGTCATGATGGCGATTTGCTGTTTATGGTGGGATTTTGAGTGTTGATCTTTGGGTAGTCGATGTTGGGTTGAAGGGAGAAAGAGCTGAAAGAGGATAGAAGCAATGGTTTCCAGGCTGCCTGTGACTTCCACCTGCTCAAAAGAAACAGAACAACTACTTCAAAAGAGGCGGGCACACTGATGTTCTCGAGGCGAGAGCAACTAGTTGGAACCCAGTTCGGCTTAGACCGGGTCGTTAAGCTTAGTCGTCGCAGCCAGGCTCAGCCTTGTGCTCAGTATTCCAATCGGCCCAGCAGCAAACTCTATTATCCAAAGATCCTACGATAATTCTCTGTTTACGAATCGAGTGGTAAGGCCGAGTGAACGTTGATACGCTCTTGCCAAAGGGATCGCAGTGGTTTCGAGCTCGGTTGTCCCGGACGATGATTCTCGTGCTGAGTAACGGCCCCTTTCGTATGCCCCAATTGGCCGAGCTTCTCCTTGGCAAGCGGTTTGATCGAGGAATCGTGATGTTGGACGTCTAGGCTCGGGAGTTCGGCTCGGCGTGGGCGTTTGGGAAGTTTGGTCGGGGTTTGCGGAAGGGGGGGTAATCCGGAAGTTGAAGCTATCGTTGAAATCTGCTTCTGAGCACCGGAGCTTGGGAGAAGAGAGCACAGCAACGGTTAGTCGCAAGGGCACGGAGCGGATCCTGGTCCATGCTGCCGCCAAGTCAGGAACAAGCTCCTGCGCATGTGGGATGTGCCCATCACGTCATGGTGCAGCTGCTCCCTGTCGCCCAAAATACCCCAGTACTATTCTCGTACCTGTTCTCTACCCGTTTGTTAGTTTGAGCCACAGGACCACTGGGTCTAGAGCCTTTGATGCTTGTCTTACGCCATGGAGTAGTCTCACGCAGCTGGACAATGTTGGAACTGAAAGACTTTGTGGATGCCTGCTTGGTGAGTGTTTGATAAGAACAAACGAGCTCATCGTTGCCGCATGATGGCGCTTGGCTCTACCCGGCAGTGGAATGGATGGGCAACTGGCGAAACCCGTCTTTCCCTGATTAGATGATATCCTCACTTGAAGTTGCCAGACTCGGCGATGCTGTCAATTTTCATGTCTCGAAAAGTCATGGGAATACTATGAGTGAGGTTTGGAAGAAGATTTGGTCAACGACTCTGCCTGAGGCAGGGAGAAAGGGACAGACCAGAAGAGCAAGGTAACTAGTTACATTGGAAAGTGGCAGGAGCAACCCGTCGTGATAGGGAAGGAGCGATTTGAAGCTTTTTTGTTCTACCAGTTGCTGGGGAAAAGACAGACAGCAACTTACTCACTACATAATCGCAACCTACCTTACAGTTAAGAATACACTATCAATTCTCTCCGCTCCAAATTCTGATTTCATCCGATTCATGTTGTAAATCAACGCTGCAGTTCATCGTGTCCGACATCATAGACGAAGACGAAGACTCGAGGAGGGCGCAAGAGATCGGCATGCTACTCAGGAAGAGCCAGCGACATCCCTCCCGTGCCTCACCGCGGGGTGCAGCGACACCACAAACAGCAGGGCCCTCCATGCTACGTCACGTGACTCTATCCCCAGCATCCCCGGCCGTTAACAACCGCCAAAACATTGGCCGATCCTCAGGGCGCGTTCAGAAGAAGGAGAAGCTTCTTCAACAAAGCACCGGCGCAATGAGGTCGCATACCCCCTCGGGCGACCCTCCAGGGAGGCGTGCCTCCGTCACAAACCGTTTTCGCAATAGCACCGGCGGGAGCGCTCTTCCCAGACCCCATACTTCCTTGAGAGAATCCAGGGTACGCTTGGTTGCCTCTAGTAAACAAAAACAAAGAGAAACGTTGGCCCGCTGACAACGAGACTTAGACTTTTCGCGCAACACAACCAACATACAACCTGTTCACCGGCGGCGATGCCAACAGCAGGCCAGGCTCGCGCGCAAGTCTCGCCGCTCCCGACTCCGTCCGCGCCTCATCCCACGAAAGCTCAAAAGAAAACATGGCGCCCCCCGATGCCGCCGAGTACGAGTCCCAGCGCCAGGTCATTGAGGAGCTCAAGGCCGAGCTGGGTACGCTGCGCTACACCATCAGCACCTTTGAGCAGGAGAAGCAGATGGCCGACGCCCGACACAATGCCGAGCTCGAGGACCAGCGCCGTCGCGCCCAGGCAGATTTCACAGCGAAACAGGCCGCCGAGAGTGAAAAGTCCCAGGCCGCGCGCCAGCTGGAGAATACCCAAAAGGAGTTGAGCGATCTCCGCGAGAACATAGCACAGGAAAAGACGAGCCTAGAGAAGCGTGCGCGTGACGCGGAAGAGGAGGCCCGTTTACTACAGGAACAATTGGAAGACTTGTCAAGCTCAAAAGACGAAGCCGCGCGCATCAATGAGAGAAAGACAATTGACCTCGAAATGCAGCTCCAGGCCGCCCAGAAGTCGACTCAGGAGCTGGAACAAGAAAGTCAGGCCCGCGAGGCCGCTCTTCAGCAAATCCAGTCCCATCTCGTGGACAAGGACAACCACGTAGCCGACCTTGAATCGGAAGTCCTCCGCCTGAAGGCTCAGACTGGCGATGCCGATACCATGGCCATCATTAAGCGCGAGCTCTCGGAGCAGGTCGCGCACATCCGCAGCCTCGAGGCCACGAACCGCGAGCAGCTCTCGGAGCTGAAGCACCTCCGTCAGATCCACCGGGCCGTCGAGGTCGTCGAAGAGGAGAAGAGATCCCTTCAACGTAAGCTCGAGGCCGCCCGGTCCCTCGAGACGGAACTAGCCGAGGCACACATTCAGCGCCAGCGCCTTGAGGACGAACGCATTGCCTGGACGGGCTATCTCGCCAGTACCGATAACGGCAGCGGCGATCTCGAATTTGACTCCCCTGAAGCCGTCGCACGAGCCCTGGTCGAGCAGCGTTACGACAACGCCGCCCAGCTCGACAAGATGGGCTCCCTACAAGCCGAGCTCGCTGCCCAGGAGTCCTCAATCAAGTCCTGCCAGGAAGAAATCACCAACCTCAAGTCCCAGCTCGCCGACGCGAAGTCCGCCACATCAGCCCCCCAAAACGTCGATAAGACCCGCCTTCGCACTGAGCGCCAGCGTGTACTGGCCGTCAAGGAGGTAGAATACCTTCGCGCCCAGCTCAAGACCTTTGACGCCGAAGACGAGGCCTTCCAGCCCGAGGCCGTCGACGAGACCCGCGCCCGTCGCATCCAGGAGCTCGAAGACCTCGTCGACAAGTACAGAAGCGAGGTACAAGCCCTCCACACTGAAATGTCGTCCATAGAAGCAGGTAAACCACCAGCCGCCGCAGACCCAACACCAGCAGCCGGCACAAAACGCCCGCGCGACGAGAACGACGACGCCTCGGCCGCGCAGGAACAACTCGGCCTTCTCACCCGCAAAAACCGCAAACTCCAAGACCAGCTCGCCGCCGTGCAAACCCAACACGCCCTCACCCAAAAAGAACTCGCCGTCACGCAAGACCAGCTCAAGGCCCTTAAAACACAATCCAAAACCCGCGTCCTGTCTCTGCGCTCGAACCCGACGTCAGACTACGAAGCCATCAAAGTCGCCAAACTCAAAGCCCTGGAGCAGGAAAACGCCGACCTCCTCGCCCAACTCAACGACAACGAAAACGTGGACCTCGTCCCGCGATCCCAGCTCGATGCCGCAGACCGCCTGGTGGAAGAAGCCCGCGCCGAGACCGCATCCGCCCAGAAATCAGCCAAGCGCCTCAAGGAAGTCTGGTCTAAGAAATCCCTCGAGTTCAAAGAAGCCATCTTTTCCACGCTCGGCTGGACCGTCATGTTCATGCCCAACGGCAAAATGCGCGTCGAGTCAACGTTCTACCCCTCCCAGACGGACGAGTACGAGAACTCCATCGTGTTTGACGGCGAAAAGGGGACCATGAAGGTCGGCGGCGGGCCGAGGAGCGCTTTTGCCCGAAGAATTGGCGATCAGATTGGCTTCTGGGTCAGGGAGAAGGGGTGTATTCCTGGGTTTTTGGCGGCGCTGACGTTGGAGTTTTATGAAGAGTATTCGAGGAATCAGATGCAGACTGAGTAAAAAGAAGAAGGAATGATGATTGGAGCTTGCTGGCTGCTGCATGTCGTTTGTCATAGGGGAGAATACACGGCAGACAGAGGTCCGGGGAGAGGGAGACAAGAAGGGGCTCTCGCGTACACATTGCCGGGACAGCGAAAGAGCTGCTCTCCACGACTTACATATTTTCATAACTACTACCTAGCTAAGACGTGGCGCGACGGAACATGAGGAGGGTGAAGAGCGGAAGAAGGAGAGGTATAGCCTCGAATGGGAGGCTGGCTTGTACATGTTTTGATATCACGATGATACCTCCACCTCACACCCTAAAGACGCGGTATTGAGGGTGCAGATGCTTGACGGATAGTTATCCTTAATGATACAATGGCTTTTTTTTTCCTTGTTCATACACAATATTTGCGCTTTGCCCTTGACACTTCGCATTCCAGCTCACCCAATTGGTAAAAGCCACACACGAGTAAAGACACCAGATATCTTGAAAATCTCTCTTTTTTCTTCATCATATCGGTACAGAAACTACCTACAAGCAAAGCTCCCCCTACAAAACAGTCCGTCTCCGTCATCAAAGGGATGATCCCACAACGAGATCATACTCCTCGAAAATCCAACACCAGACAGAAGATGGGGAGGTAAAAATAAACAAGTGACTGAGCCAGACAAGATGATTATCCGGGGGGTGTCTTCTTTTCCTCTCCTGCCATGCGCTCGCTATGTAAAATGGTCTGTCTTCCAATGGCAATACAAAGTCTACCACTTTGAACGGGTATGTACACCTCGCACCACATCTTCCTCATTAAAAAAGTTCATGGCTGCAAAGATTACTTGGCCTCGTACTTGCCGCTGGTAATCTTCTTCACCAAGTTCACGTCCACCCACTGCTGATCAGCTGGCAGCGCCGGCGAGGTCGGGTTGTCATCAGCAAAGGGGTCGGCATCTTCATCCTTGCCCTTGCCCTTGGTTTCTTCCAGGCGGGAAATACTGATGCCGCTACCCAGAGTCTCCGGGGTGAGCTCCCAGCGGGCTTCAATGTGGCCAGGTTTGGGTTCCGCGTTCTCAGCTCCCACGATACGGCACACAATCTTCTGTGTCTCGTTTGTGAGAGTCAAGTCGCCCAAGCGCCAGTATACCAGATGCTTGTCCTTCAGATGCGTTCCTGTCGGCTTTGTCTGGGCGCCTGAAGCCTTGGCACCCTCGTACGTGGCGACGAATACGACGTTCTGTAGTGTAACAGGAGCTGTAAGGTTACTTGCGGGGTTCAGGGAGTACTGCAAGAGAAGTCCGAGCTTGTCGCCCTGCGGCTTCCAAGCCGGGCGGATCAGCAGAGGAACTTGCGCCGCTAAGCCAGAGCCGTCGGCATCGCCAGCGTGTACTCTATACGTAAACGCTGTGGATGTCTTGTTGAGATGCGACACGTCCAAGTTGAATTCGTCAGACTTTCCGAGGCTGTTCTGAACAAAGATACGGTTCGGTCCAATAACTTCAAGGCTGGGGAAATTGTTGATCCTGATCGTCTCATGTTCTGTTCAGAGTTAGCTCTTTGAAGTCTGCAGAATGAAAAATTGACTCACCTTGCGGAGTATCACCAGTTGCGTGGTAGGCGAACGCGATTTCACCGTGAACCTTGGCGCTTTTGACGG